ACGGGCCGGCGCGGGGCGGTGCCGGGGCGCGGGGAGCCATGGCCCCACGTGCTGCAGCTCTCTGCAAGGAGCCGGTGGGTGCCAAGTACGCACTCACTGCGCTGGCCCCGCTCGTGGCACCCGCAGGCAGCGGAGGTGATGCTCGGTGGTCCCCGGAGCTGCCAGCCATCACTGCGGGGCACAGGGCTGCTGCCAGCACTGCCACGGTCCACCTGGGATGCTCCACCAGCACCCCGGGGCCTCCCACATGGCTGGTCCCCAGGGACCTGGTGCTGGGGACCCCAGAGACACAGCTCCCAGGACCCAAGTCCCCAGCCCAGCAGCAGCGGTGGGGCAGAGCGTGTCCAGCTGGACCAGCATCCCTGTCCCCCCAAAAACGCAGACTGAGCTTATCCAGATAGCTTATCCGGAGGCTGAAGGCTGCAGAGATGTGCCCTCTTAACCCTTCGGGCTCCGCTGGCCCCGCAGCACAGTGGGATGCTGCCACACAGTTTTGCTGTAGGGGTGCAGGGGATCCCAGGGGCCGGCGGGGCTGGTGGGGGGCTGCGGGAAGGGGAGCGCCGGCAGTTGCTCCCACCCCGAGCCCCCAGAGCCAGGGCGCAGGGTCAGGGCTGTCGCATCCCAGCCCAGTCCAGCCTCAGCCGCCTCGGCTGACCTTGGGCAGTCTCCCGGGACCGCAGTGCTACGGGTACCCCAGCCCGGGGGGCCCACACAGCCCCATCCCACGGCACCGTCCCCGCAGCCCTCAGCCGGGCTCTCCCGGTGACCTTGCGGGGCCGCACCCAGCACCGCGGGACGCTCGCCGCATCCGGGGCGCCCTGTCTCGCCCAACCCCAGCCCGCGCCACCCCTGCCCGCTCCCACCACCCTGCCCTGCCCTTGCCCTGCCCCACGGCCCATCTCTGCCCCACTGCCCTCTCCGTGCCCAGACGTTCCCAACCACCAGCACAAGCCCCTCCGCAGCCCTGGGGATGGCCCCACCGCTGCAGGCAGCCCCAAGCCCTCCCCAGCCCCAGTGCTGCCCTTGACGGCTGCAGACGCGTCCCCAAGCCAAAGCCTCTCCCTGCCTTCGGCTCAGGGAGCTCTGCCCGGGGGCAGCCCCTCTCCCACAGCTCCTCTGCACCCCCACACCAGCCTGGAGCCCCCGACCTGGGCAGCCCCTGGGTCCCCCGCCTGCCCCAAGAGCAGCTCCCTGCCCCGGGCAGGGCAGCTTGTGGGCACCAGGGGCAAATGGCCTCGCAGCGGGGAGGCAAAGGAGCTGGGGGGGCTGCCAGGGCCAGCCATGGCACCCATGCTCTTGCACAGCACCCAACAGCCCCAGCCTGTCTATAAAAGGAAGCATCTTTTTTCCCCGCTCCCCCCAGCGCTGCGTGCCCGGCCGTGCTCTGCAGCCGCTGCCTCGCAGGGGCCTTTCCAAGTTTTACTATTCAGCGCTGCCCCCCCGACCGGCTCCCCTGGCTCATCCATCCCCAGCAAACCCACTGCAGCAGCCACTGCAGCCACTGACCGGCTTAAAAAATAAAAAAGAGGCCCAGCGAGGAGGTGGGAGGTGGGTACAGGAGGAGTGCTGGCGGGGGGGGCCTTGGGGAGCCCCCCAGCCCCCGTCCTGTCGCCCCTTCGCCTGCAGGCATTGCCCAATTCGGGGCTGTGGGCACATGGCCTGTGCAGCCCTGGTGCACCCAGCCGCAGTGGTCAGCGCTTCCCCCCATGCTCATCCAAAATACGATGCCGAGGTGCCCAGGAGTCGGGCTTCCCTTTCCACCCCATCCCACCGGCGTGGGGTGTCCCCGCTTTGCACAGCCGAGGGCACCCTGGCTCCCCGGGGAGGGGGCAACCAGCCCTGCTACAGGGGGGCACCCGCAGGCAGACGGGCCGGGCTCTGCCCCGCTGCACTGCCCGCCGACCCAAGCACCCACCACCCCCGACCCCCCCGCAGCCGGGACCTGACGGGGGTGCCCTATTGTCCCCCTCAACCCCACAGAGAGTTTGCTGTTGCCCCCACTCCTCCGCCTCCACCCGGGCCAGCCCGAAGTGGTGAGGGGCCACGGTGACCCCCAGCCCCAGGGCTGCCCCCTCCCTGCCCATGCCGAGCCGCTGCCAGGAGCCGAGCGTGGGGCTGCGAGCGGCAGCAGCATCCCCAGCCCGAGCGGGGCTCGGCCCCAGCCGGGCTCGCTGAAGGTTAAACACCGGCAGCGGGGAAAGCCCCGCTGCCTCCCACAGACCCCGCACCTCCCGCCCCGCACGGCCACTTACGGTCCTGGAGGTGACACCGGCCGGGTGCAGGCTCGGCTGATGGCAGCGGGCTGCGGTGACACCCGGCATGAGCATGCTGCTTCCCCGCTCGCCTTGACTTTGCCACAGGACTCCTCCGGCTCGTCCGCCGGAGCCTGCAGCATCCTCCCGTTCAGCAGGAGAAGTTCCTCGCCAGGGAGGGAGGGAGGGAGGGATTTAAGGCAGACCCTGCCTGGGATGCAAATGCCTCCGGGTGCAGGTGAAGACCCTCCGCTCGTTGGGCACCCCGCAGCCCCCTCCTCAGATGCCCCATACCGGGCTCGGTGCCCCGGCACACGGCTCATGGCATGCCTGGCTCTGGAGATGCTGCGCGGGTGATCTCTGCTGAGAAGCCCTCTCCCTCCCGGAGGAGGCAGCCAGGGCTGCCAGGGGCACGCAGCCAGCCACCTCTGCCCCTGCCGCCTGCCCTGCGGCCCCCGGCTGCCCGGCGGGGGTCCTGGACCACTGCCGTGGGGAAAGCCGGCATGCGTTGCTGGGCCCAGCAGCAGCCTGGGGCAGCTCGGAGGGCGAAGCGGAGCCCATGGGTTGCTCAGGAGGGCAAAACCTGTCGCCACTGCAGCCACAGGGGCTCCCCTGGGCCAGCGGGACTCCACGGGGATGGGGATCCCCAAGGTGCTCCAGGCCACCCACTCTGGGCGTCCCCAGCACCCATGGGGTGGCTCTTTTAGCATCCAGAGCAGCAAAGCCCAGGGGTACAGGGCTGCTCTGCCCACCCCGGGACCCTGCTGCGCCCCAGCTCCCGCCGCTCCTACCTCTGCCTGCGGAGGGCTGGCGGGGTGAGGGGGACCCCCTGCTCGGGGCTGCGGTGGGGGCAGGATGCCAGCAGACACCTTATTGTGGTTCCCAAAGGGAAAAGCCAGAAAAAGCAGCACGGCGTCCCTCCCGCGGCGGTCCCGGCGGCTCCCTGCCTGCCACGACGCCCTCCCCACCCCGGGTGCGCTCTGTTTGCCTGCTATTTTTGGCAGCCTCCTAAGAGCTCCTCTCAGGCTATTAATAATGAGAGTGCGAAATTCGTTTGGCCTCTCCTATATAAGGAAAGGTAGAGGCTTAGAGGCAGCTAAATATACTGGCGCGTGCGGGAGCAAGCAGGGAGGCTTTGGCACCGAGTGTGGAAAAGAGATTGTTTGAACAATGGAAAGACGGACTCACTCAGCGCACAGGGCCCCGCGTGGATGGACGGGCAGATGGACAGAGAGACGGACGGAGGGTGACAGTGCCTGTGGGCCTGCACGGCAGCACCCGCATCGCACCCCGATGCCCCTCGGGGCCCTGCTTCGGCAGGACCAGCGGCGGGAGCAGGGAGGAGGCGGCTGCAGCAGAGATGCTGCGCAAAGCCCCTGTCCCGAGCCAGTCGTGCTCTCCCCAAAATGCCTACAACTAACCCACTGGGC